CTTGAAGACCATCGGCCTTGACAAAATCACCATCAGTCAATTGCAAAAGGCAGCTTTACTTGGAACAGTTTATATCCTGTGACGATACCTTTCATCCCATCAAACAACATCTGCCTATCCCAGGTCCTTGGGAAGGACTCAATAGGTGGATAAAAATGCCAAATCCAGTCTAAACATCTGGCTGACTGTGCGACGACAACAACATCTGAATGGATTATATCACTTTAACAGATTAAAAATCACTCTCAAACTCTAAAATAAGAATGAATATTAACACAAAATAAATCACCAGGTAAGACCAACGTCTATAATGACCCCTTGCTTATGGGGATGAGCTCTGCTAAGGTTGGAAGAGGCTGGGGATGATGGGAGCTATTGTCCAACACATCAAATTGGGGAAGGTTGTCTCGGAGGTCTTGAGGTTCTGCTTGATTTCTTCTCAAGCAGATGTGGTGGTGGTGAGTTACTGTCCTTTGTGTGTGTGCTTCTAAAGGTATGGGGCCTGCCTGAAAGCTGGAAGAGGTATCACATTGTCTCCCTGGGGCGCATTGTCACGGCACTGAATGAGAGTGAGATTGGAGCATTGGATCTGAGTTCGATTGACACCGTCTCGGCCCTGAGACAGCAAACAGGCTGGAATCCAGTTCAGGTTAATCACCTTTCACATTGAGAGTCCATTGCTAGTAGAAGACTGCTGGTTCTCATTACTGTTGGTTTATGTGTGTGTTTTTTAATCTGTGCACGTTGTGTGGGTGAGGGTGAAAATGGAGTAGGAAATTGGGGCCCTGGAAGTTGCTGGCATCCACCCAACAAACCAACTCAGCACCTTGATTCATGGCAAATGGACCCACCACAGCATGTAAAGCTAGAGTAGAAGAATCTTCAGGCTCTGATGGACATCTCAGTCCAAGAGAGAGAGAAGTTACTTTAGTGAATAAAAAATGCACACCCTGCCTTTTTGTGTATAGATGTTCCCAGATTTCCAGTTCAATTATGAAAACCCAGCTATGTCCTAATCTTAGGATAGTAACAGATGATTTCCACAAAACGAAGCAAATGTCAGACAAAGCCTATTATGAGATTCTACCAAGGATGGAAACTGAGAGGGATTAACAAAAAAGGCATTTAGGATAGACTTCTAGGCAGTGATTTCATTACTGTTCTAGAGTAATGTTTCTCAACCTCAGCAACTTTAAGATGTGTGGACTTCCACTCCCAGAATTCCCTGGCCAGCATGTGTGGACTTTAACTCCCAGAATTCCCCAGCCAGCATGCATGCATGCTG